GAAAATGGCCGCGGACCACGTGGCACAGGCGGAAAATGGCTCGTAACCCGAGGCGGAGTTCGCAAACCGAGGTAAAATTTTTGGGCCAGAGCTGGTCGTAACCCGAAAAATTCGCAAGCAGAGGCGTTCGTATCCCGAGGTACCACTGTATAGGGTTCTGTACTTAGGAAAAAACAAGATGGACAAGTACAAGATCTCAGTGCCTATAGGCTGTGAGGGTCTGGATGGGGAACAACAGGCTTCAACTGAATCCTAGCAAGACTGAGTGGCTTTGGGTTTGAGGGCCTGCTGGTTCTAGGACTATGCCATCTTTGGTGCTAGATGGGATGGCACTGCCCCAGACAGACCCTGTGCACAATTTGGGGGTCCTTCTAGACTCGTGACTCCAGCTCAAAGAACAGGTGCTAGTCATGGCTAGGAGGGCCTTTGCACAGCTTTGTGTTGTGCGCCAATCACCCCCCTTCCTGGATCAGGAGGCTCTGCCCACAGTCACTCAATGCCCTAGTCACCTCCAGATTGGACTACTGTAATGCGCTCTACCTGGGGCTGCTCTTGAAGCTTCAACTGGTGCAGAATGCAGTGGTATGGGTAGTTATGTATGCTCCTAGAAGAGCACATATTACACCTCTGCTTTGCGAGCTGCATTGGCTGCCAGTATGCTTCTGGATCCAATTCAAGGTGCTGGTTTTGACCTGTAAACCCCTTCATGGCATGGGGCTGGGTTATCTGAGGGACCACCTCTCCCCTATTACATCAGCCCAGGAAAGTATGATACGGGTTCCACCAGCCAGGGACTTTTGGTGGGTCCAAGGAGGTGGGGCTTCTCTGCCATGGCTCCCTCCTTGTGGAACATTCTCCCCCTTGAAGTTAGGCTCACCCCTTCCCTGCTATTGTTTAGGAAGTTCCTCAAGACCTGGTAATGTCATCAGGCCTGGGGGTCTTTGGGAACCAGAGACATTCTTAGATGGTTCCACTATGATTAATATTCTGCTCTCTCCATGGGGTTTGAATATTTTAAACTTTTTGATAATATTTTCATTTTAATAATTACTTTTAATTTTTTTATAGTGATCGTTTTTTATTTATTTGCTGTTTTCTTAATTGTTCTATGCTGCCCAGAGTCACTTTGTGTGAAATGGGCAGCTATATAAATGTGACAAATAAATAAAATAAAATAAAATAAAATAAAATAAAATAAAATAAAATAAAATAAAATAAAATAAAATAAAATAAAATAAAATAAAATAAAATAAAATAAAATAAAATAAAATAAAATAAAATAAAATAAAATAAAATAAAATAAAATAGATAGGCGATACCTGGCTTATCAGTAGTACTTGTAAAAAGGATCTGGGTATCCTGGTGGACCACATATTAAGCATGAGCCAGCAGTGTACTAACGCTTCCAAAAGAGCCAGTTCAGTTTGGGACTTCATCAACAGAGCTCCTAAAAAGTCT